GTCGTCAGATTCCCTGCTTTGAGCTACAGCCACTCAAGACATGAGTACTTTTACATTTATTTTTGTCTTTCAAATTCGTTCATGACGTCAAGTTATTCGAAATTAATTAAAAATTTTTAACTTCCTTACTCGTAAAATCCATCTTGAAAGACTTCATGTATACGTGCACACGGGATTACAAAACCTCTAGTTGAGGTGGAGATATGTAACTGAAAACAGGGTGAAACAGTCTGGGGACATTTTACCTCGTTTATATATGTTTAAGTTAATTTACATTGCTATGTTCAAATTTGACAAATATTTAAAACAATAAAGGTATTAATTGACGTGACAGCAGGAATCAGCAAAAAGAACATGACTGATTACCTTGTAAAAGACCCTTCGCTCGGTATACAAACTGCCATGGAGTAGCGGCATTATGCGTATGTCTTGGCATCTTTGAGGCTGATAAATGTTGTGCCACTATAAATTTTGAACAACTTGGAAATCGTGACTATTCACACGAAGAGTTTCGTTCCGGAACCAGCTGAGGGCTCATGGGTCAAATAACTCTCTGCCTTTGGAAAACTGTTCGAGCGTTTAACTCACGATATAAAGGATTTCGTAGCGCACAAGAAAAAAATGGCCATAGAAACTGACAGTGACTTGCAACACTGATAATTTGCCAGTATTCAGCACAAATGAAATCAATAGTTACGGCCAAGATGCGGTTCGTTCGCCAGATTAATTTGTAAACTGAAGCGCCCTTATTAGCGGAAGTTAAAGGCATTTGTAGTGACGGTTATGCTAAACTGCTCTTACATTTGTCGATTTTTCGTCATTAACGTTTTATGTTTCTAGCCTTCTTTTTTACATTTAGCAGGGCACTGACCGTGGTTTAAATCTGCCCTTAAGAAACATAATTTACATATATCTTCACAGACCCATGGAAAGTTCAGAAAGAAAATCCAAGGGGTAAATAACGCGTTACATGTATGACTGAAATCTAACAAGCTGGAATAAATAAAGAGATAAATACTTTCTAGGCAAGATGTAACACCAATATCTTTTCTTGAAACTCGCTCATAATATTTCTACTGAAAAAGCGCTGTCACAATTCTTGCACTGCATGTGCTTGTTGTCCAGTTCACGCAGTCGACACAACGACGCGAGCTGAAGAAAAAGAAAAAGTTCTGTTCTCGTACTTTTGCTTAACATTCTTGTTTGTCGTCATGAGGTTCCCCAGTCCAGAACATGGGGTACAGGTCTTGTGCTTTTTAAAATATTCCGCTTGAAGCGTAACCAGCCAGTCTTATGTATTTCATCTGACAATAATTTACCATACGAGGGATAACTAATTTCAGTTTTTATACACTCAATACTACACTCACCTTTAAATTG